TACTCCATAGAGCGGGAGCAGGCTGCAGCAAGCAGCTCAAGAGCCTTGGTTGCAAAATCTTCTAGGGTTTAAGTCCCTTTAGAGGTTTCCTATTGGTTACACCCTGTGTATATGAAGACTTCATGATATGGTTTAGCTGTGTCCTCACCCAAAATCTCACCTTGAATTGTAATAATCCCCACAGCTCAAAGGCAGGACCAGGTGAACATAATAGAATAACGGAGGCAGTTTCCCCCATACTGTTCTTGTGAGAGTGAATGAGCTCTCATGTGATCTGATGGGGTTTTTTTTGTTTTTCTTTTTGTTTTGTTTGTTTTTTGAGATGGGGTCTCGCTCTGCTGCTAGGCTGGAGTGCAATGGTGCCTGGCCTATTAGGAGATTTTTTTATTACTGATTTAATAATCTGTGTACTATTTATAGGTTTATTCAGATTTTCTATTTCTTTGTGATTTAGTATTGGTAAATTTTGTCATTCTAGGAATTGTCCCTTTCATCCAGATTATCCCATTTTTTTGGCATACAATTATTCACACTACTCTCTTATAATCCTTGTCATTTCTATAGAACTTGTAGCCATCTCCCCACTTTTATTTCTGATTTAATAACTTAAGTCTTCACTCTTTTTTTCCCAGTTCATCTAGCTAAAGTTTTCTTGATTTTGTTGATCTTTTCAAAGAATAAACGTTTGATATTATTAATTTTCTGGTTTTTTTCTATTCTCTATTTTATTGATCTTTGCTCTAATCTTTGTTATTTCCTTCTAAGACTTTGGGTTTAGTTTGTTTTTCTAGTTCCTTAAGTTGCAAAATTTGGTGGTTGATTTTACATATTTCTTTTTTTTTTGAGAGGGAGGGAGGAAGAGAGGAAGAAGCTACTTTACGCCTTTCTTGTTTCTTTCTTTCTTTCTTTCTTTTTTTGAGACGGAGTCTCACTCTGTCACCCAGGCTGGAGTGCAGTGGCACAATCTTGACTGACTGCAACCTCCACCTCCCAGGTTCAAGTGATTCTCCTGCCTCAGACTCCCAAGTAGCTGGGATTGCAGGTGCCCACCACCACGCACAGCTAATTTTTGCATTTTTTCATAAAGACAGGGTTTTACCACGTTGGCCAGGCTTGTCTCGAACTCTTGACCTCAAATGATCCGCCTGCCTCAGCCTCCCAAAGTGCTGGGATTACAGGCATGAGCCACCACACCTGGCCTGTTCTATCCATTTTTGAGAGTGAAACATTAAAGTCTCCAACAATTATTGTAGGATTGTCTGTTTCTCCATTCAATTCTCTCCATTTTTGCTTCCTATATTTTGATGATCTGTCATTTGTGTATAAATGTTTGTAATAGTAATATCTTTTTGCTGTATTTAATATTTTATTCATATATACTGTTCTTCTTTGTCTCTTGTAAACTCTTAAAATTTAAAGTGTATTTGCCTGACATTAGTATAGCCATTCCTGCTCTTTTTTGGTTACTATTGCTTGGAATATCTTTTTTCATCCTTTCACTTTCAACCTATTTGTGTCTTTGAATCCAAAGTGAGCCTCTTGCAGACATTATATAGTTGGATCTTTTTTTTAGATTTTTTTGCTTTTATTATTACTTTTAATTGGCACATAGTAGTTAGTGAATGAAAATATAAATAAGACCCCAGCCTCTCCAGATGAGATGGACTTTCTGTGGCTGATAGAGACACCAAATAAGATAATAGGAATCCAGTGGACATGGCGAGTGAAAGAATAACAAGTGCATTCATGCACTGGTTATTCTCAGATAGGGTAGCCCCAAACAAACATCCTGTTTGCATCTCTGAACTAAAAGGGTTACTATAATGGGAGCTAAGAGAGTTCCCATAATGGGAGGGTTCCTATAATGTGACCCAAAAACTCTTCCCACTAGCCTGAAAGGAGCACCCAACAGACACTCCTGGTTTTTAGACTTGGAAACTACCCAAATGTTCTTACATTTAAGTCTTTAACCCATCTTCAGTTAATTTCTTTGTATGGTGAAAGGAAGAGGTCCAGTTTCAATAAGCAAACCTAGGAAGCAGCATTCTGGACATTGGCTTTGGCAATGAATTTACCACTAAGTCCCCAAAAGCAAATGCAACAAAAACAAAAATTGACAAGTGGGACCTAAAAAAAGAAAGAAAATGAAGCTTTCTCTTTTTCCTCCACAAATCTCATGGTCTTTTGTTAACATTTCTTGGCAGGGAAGATGGGATACAAAGTGGCCCCAAGCTCCTTCCAAGCATCATCTGGACGAATGCATCAGCACCTGCAAAAGCCCCTTGAGCTCAGCTGTCATCATCTACATTGAGGAGAAATCAGGTAAGCCCTCTCTGATCCAAGACCTCAGATTTTTAGGTGAAAGTCTTGGAGACTTTCTTTTCTTCAGAGAGCCTGGCCCTATGGGCCCTGCAGGAAATGCTCACACTTTGTGAGGTACACTCACATTTTTGCAAGGTATGCTCGTGCTTTGTGGGGTATGCTCATGTTTCTGATTTCGAGGATGTTCACATTTAAGGACATGGAAGGAATGCCTTCATCAGGTCAGTGCAATGGGTCAGTGCATTAGGTCTAGTTTTCTCTATTGTAACTTCTGCGTATATTTGATATAACTTCTGAGTACATGAAAAACCTCCACAATCTGTAGACTGTAGGCTGAAATATGGCTTTGGAGCAGTCTGATAGAGACTCTCTGTAAGACTCCTCCTGGTTTATAATTATCTTCAATGAGAATGAATAAAATGAACTTTAATGCTTTAACCATCTGATGTTTTTTAATTGACAGGCCATGTTCTAAGGGAATGGTCTCTGACCAGTCACCTTCTGATACACTGGTGGCTTTCATGTTAAAACAAACAATTAAAAACTATGGAGAAATTTCTACACTTAGGCTTTAGATTAAGTTAGCCCAGGAAAGTTCAGAGACATGCCAAGATATTTTCTGGAACTCCAGCTGGCTGCATATTATGGCCCATTCTTGTGCACATGTTTAAACTGATGGGCAACTTACATCAAGGAAAATTCAGAGCTCAAATGATCAACCTGCAACTACAGAGTTAAAATGTAGAGTCTTCTAAGTTCTCTCTCACTACATTTTTCCATGACTACTTTGAATCTGTTGACTTTTCTACTGATGTTGAATTAAAACTTACTGTTTATGATATTGCTAATTCAAGGCTACATGGAGATTTTGTTTTTCTTATACAATTCAGCTGGTTCTAGTTAAAATGTAAACACTCAAAATTTAACCATAAACTCATTTGAAACTGAAGGGAAAAGAAGGGGCAAAGTAGATCTTTAAAATCAAACTGCAGTGAAAATATGTGGGCTTGCTAATTCACAAACACTCATTTATTTTTAAGTCAATTTGGTGGTACCAAGTAAATACAACAGATGCTGATATGTTCATATATGTAAACACATCTAGATACATATAAATAAAGATCTTATAGCTTTCAAAATTTTGATCCCTCATTAGATGACCTATTGGAGCAAATAAAGTTTAGCCATAAAAGCAAGTCCTAATTTTATTTAAAAAAAAAATCTGGATCCAACTGTGTTTTGTCTTTTATAAATCAGTGAGTTTGTATCACCATCTCTTGACTAAAATTCTAAAGTGAAAGCTCTACGGTTTTTATTTGTATGTGTGTGTGTGTGTCTAGATGTGTTTACATATATGTACATATCAGTATCTATTTTGTCTACTTGGTACCACCAAATTGACTTACAAATAAATGAATGTTCCTAAATTAGTAAATCCAAATATTTTCCATGCTCATGTTACTTAAGTAAATCTTTAATAAATAAGCTGGGTTTAAAATTGTTGATAAAATGAAGACATTTCAGAATTGAAATGTCTTCAGAATTGTCAGCATACATTTTTGCCTGGGTTTACTGGTTTAATAGTTTTATATTTGCCTTTGCTAGATATTTTAAGGTGTTGGAGTTTGGCACAAAGTTTATAAAACACTAACTCCAGCCCAAAATATAATGATTTTTGTTTGTGTGACTTTTTGATAATCAAGTATAATTTAATATTAATAGTTTAATGAAAACAGCTGAATCTTCTGAGTTATTGCCAAAATACCCACATATTTGACTTTAAGATCTTTACTTAGGTAAATACCTGATAGTCACATGCTATAAAAGTGGTCAACCAGAAAATAACTTAAAATGATGACTAGTTTTGTGTAATATCCCAGTTACCATAAATAATCTAGGTAAATTTTTAAAATTAAGTAAAAGTAAAAAGAACAGCCACAAATGTCTATACATGAACTTACGTAATTTGAAATCATAAGGTTATGCTAAATTAAATAATAGGGCTGGTGCAGTGGCTCACAACTATAATTCCAGTACTTTGGGAGACTGAGGTTAAGACTGCAGTGAGCCATGATAGGGCCACTGTGCTATCCCATCTACCCACTAGCCTGGGTAACAGTGAAACTCGGTCTCTTAAAACAAAACAAAACAAAAAACAAAAAAAGGAAAAAAAAAACTAATTAAATGATCCTAACCCTTGCCTTTTCCTGTACATAAAATAACATTTGACAACATTAATGATTATTCCTCTGTACTCTATTACCAGCTGTACTCTCAGCCCAAAACTTTGAAAAGAGTTGTTTTTTTTTTTTTTTTGAGACGGAGTTTCGCTGTTGTTACCTAGGCTGGAGTGCAATGGCACGATCTCAGCTCTCCGCAACCTCCACCTTCCGGGTTCAAGCAATTCTCCTGCCTCAGGCTCCCAAGTAGCTGAGACTACAGGCACACACCACCATGCCCAGCTAATTTTTGTATTTTTAGTAGAGACAGGGTTTCACCTTGTTGACCAGGATGGTCTATCTCTTGACCTCGTGATCCACCCGCCTCGGCCTCCCAAAGTGCTGGGATTATAAGCGTGAGCCACCGCACCCGGCCGAAAAGAGTTTTCTCTAATGTAACTTCTAAGCACATTTGATGCAACTTCTGAGTACATGAAAAACCTTTACAACCTGTATGTAGGCTGTGGGCTGAAACATGGCTTTGGAGCAGTCTGATAGAAACTCTCTACAAGACTCCTCCTGGTTTATAATCTTCAATAAGATTGAATAAAATGAACTTTAATGCTTTAACCATTTGATGTTTTTTAATTGACAGGCCAGGATTATAAGTGACTTTAGGATCTTTGATATGTCTCCCAGGTAGGAGGTTGAGGGATACAGAGTGTGCACTGAATATTATTTATTGATCTACCCTTAATAAACTAAACAAGGCTGCTGCTGACCTCTGCAAAGGCAGTTTGAGTGGACAGTGGGGTTAGAAGCCAGAGACTGACATTTGCAAATATCTTTGTGAACCAATTTATTGAGCACTGAATTGGGACTCAAGTTAAATTTACTCCCATTAAATTTGAGGCACAGGCCAGGCGCAGTGGCTCACCCCTGTAAGCCCAGAACTTTGGGAGGCCGAGGCAGGCAGATCATTTGGGGTCAGGAGTTTGAGACCAGCCTGGCCAACATGGTGAAACCCCACCTTTACTAAAAATACAAAAAAAAAAAAAAAAAAATTAGCTGGGCGTGGTGGCACGTGCCTGTAATCCCAGCTACTCGAGAGGCTGAGACAGGAGAATCGCTTGAACCCGGAGGTAGAAGTTGCAGTGAGTCAAGATGGAGACACTGCACTCCAGCAAGAGGGACACAGCAAGACTTCGTTTTAAAAAAAAAACAAAAAACAAAATGTGAGGCACAAATGGGAGGTGAGGCAGTGAAGTTTGTGAATATACACAATGCTCAAGGGACTCATGAAATGCATTTCATTTAAAAAATGAAATTGAGCATATGTGCAAGCAAGATTCACACACCCCTTTAATCTTCACATCACCACGAGGTAGTCACTATTATTATCCCAATTTTACAAGATTAAAACACTGACGCTGGGAGGTTGACAGGGTTACCCCAAATCACACTGAGGAGCTGGGCTCCCCACCCCCGCTTAAGTCTCCATGTCCCCAGGAGACGCTGACGGTGGCAGCAGCCTCTCGGGCCTGTAGGCGGAGCACTTGGCGAAGGCTTAGCCCGCCGCCGGAACTGCTAGCTTTCAGCGGGAGCCGAGACGGTGCGGGGCCCGAGAAATACCTTCCATCCCATCCTGCGCCCCGATGCTGCGCGTCCTGTGCCTCCTGCGCCCCTGGAGGCCCCTTTGGGCCCGCGGCTGCGCTTCCGACGGGGCGGCCGGGGGCCCCGAGATCCAAGTGCGCGCCCTGGCAGGTTCCAACCAAGGTAAATGCGCTGGCCCCGGGAGCGCCCGGGACGCGGCTGGGACGAGGCCGCGGCCGGAGGCACCCGGGGGCGGGTAGGCGGGCCCCTCAGGGCGTTGGAAGATTCGATACCCAGTCCCTCCCTCCCAGTTCTAGGCGCCCCAAGCTGCCCCAAGGCCAAGAGGTGGGCGGCCGCCTTAATGGCTGGGGGCCTCTGGCAACCTCAGTCTCCTCAAAGGCCCTTTGGGGTCCTCCGACTGCGTGGAAGGGGAGAGGGGTCTGCAAGGGTAGGACTGGGCCCTGCGCCTCCCCAACATCGCCAGGAACATTCAAGTGCGCGTTCCCTCCCCCGCCGTGGGTCATGGCCCCGTTTGGGGACCGAGGCAGAAGAACCAATCCCTCGGGGCGTGCGACGTCAGCTGGGAGCCCAGCGCGGCGGGCGGAGCGAGTAGGGTGCCTCTCCAGGCTTGCGCCCTCGCTGGGCTGCTCACGAACTTTTGCGTCCTTCTGGCTCCAGGGGAAAGTTCTTCTCCGGTCACTGGCGTTCCTCCAATCGCATGTTACGTTTTTGTTGTTGTTTGGACTTCTGGAGCATTCGATGGTGCTGATAACGCTCCTCAGTCCTCTGCTTCTAACCATCAGGGCTAGGCGCTTCTCCTGCCTTGAGTCTCCTCCCCCATCTCATCCCGTTACCTGCGTTTGATACACAGATGACATTGTACTGTACATTTCATTGTATTGCTTCGTTTTTACTGCTTGACACTAAGTTTGGAGAGGGGCTTTGCCATAAAATCCAGTTCCTTGCTCCCTGTTGCTGCCCCACTATTCCCAAGTGTGCATTTACCACCCTCAGTGGACACAGACAGGCCACCTGGTGTCTCACAGCAATTATTGAGAATTACCTTGGGAATTAATTAGTAAGAATTACCTTGACCAGGTGGGATTGCTGGACCTTATACCCATGCTTAGTTCACTACCCAACTGACAACAGCTCTTACCTTAAGATAGTCAAGATTATTCTCCCCACTTTACAGAGTAAAAAACTGAGGCACAGAAGCTTAAGTTATTTGAACCAGGTCTGATTTCAAGGCCTGTGTTCCCAACCATTGGGTTATCACGGATAATTCTAGTCATTAATCACTTGTAGTAATTCTAGTAATTACTTGTAATTCAGTGACTTCTTGTAATTCAGTGACTCAAAACACAGACTTGTACATCTGTAAATACAAAATTATCATGGGTTAAAGACCTTTAACTTGCAAATATCGGGGATCATTTTATCCAAAAAAAATGACAACGATCAGCAGATTAAGCCTCTGCCCCTGCCAGAGGGCACAAAGGGCGGGGAAAGTCAGTGAGAGGAGAGACAGAAACCAAGGTGACAGTGTGGAGGAGCCATGTGGACGAGATCACACACAGAGGCCTCACAGGGAATGAGTTGGGGTCATTTGATGTCGATGTTGGAAGCTGTGGGTTCTGCTGTCCACTGGGGCTGATGGCACCAGAGCACTGTTACATTTTACCTGCTGCCCTTGAGCTTGAGGTTGGCTGCTTAACTGCTCTTCACTGCTCTTCAGCAGCTTTATTTCTCATGCAGTTATGTGTTGCTTTACAACAGGGCTACATTCTGAGAAATGCGTCATTAGGCGATTGTGATTATTGTGGGAGCATCACAGTGTGTACCTACACAATCCTAGATGGGATATCCTGCACACTGAGGCTACGTGGGGTATAGCCTGTTGCTCCTAGAATACAAACCTGGTCAGCATGGTACTGGGCTGAATACTATAGGCAGCTATAACACAATGGTAAGTATTTGTATATCAGAAAAAGCACAGTAAAAATATGGTCTAAAAGATTTTTTAAGCAGTATACCTGTATTGGGCAGTTACCGTAAATGGAGCTTGCAGAAGCCCTAGGACAGCAGTACTGGTTTGGCACCAGGAAATGGTTTCATGGAAGACAGTTTTTCCATGGACTTGTGGGGGTGGTAGGGGGCGGATGCTTTGGGGATGAAACTGTTTCACCTCGGATCACCAGGCATTATGGGCTCATAAGGAGCTTGCAGCAATCTAAATCCCTCACATGCACAGTTCACAATAGGGTTCACACTCTTATGAGACTCTAATGCCACCACTGATCTGATAGCAGGTGGAACTCAGGCAGCAATTCAAGCCATAGGGAGCTGCTGTCAATACAGATGAAGCTGCTCACCTCCTGTTGTGTGGCCCAGTTCCTAGCAGGCCGCAGACTAGGATGGGTCCACAACCCAGGGGTTTGGGACCTCTGGCCTAGGACATTACTGTACACTACTGTAGACTTTATAACACTGTACACCTAGGCTACACTAAATTAGCTTTAAAAGTGTTTCTTTCTTCAATAATAAATTAACCTTAGCTTACTGTTTTTACTTTATAAACTTTTAAATTTTTTTAATATTTTGACTCTTTTGTATTAACCCACTTAGCTTAAAACACAAACACATTGTACAGCTGTACAAAAAATACTTTCTTTCTTTAGATCCTTATTTTATAAGCTTTTTAAAATTTTAATTCTTAAACTTTGTTAAAAACTAAGACACAAGCACACACATGAGCCCAGGCCTATCACTGCCTTCCACCTCCACATCTTGTTCCACTGGAAGGTCTTCAGGGCAATAACATGCAATGGAGCTGTCATTCCCTGCAGTAACAATCAGCAGCACCTACTGAAGGACCTGCCTGAGGCTGTGTTACATTGAACCTTTTTTTTTTTTTTTTTTAAGTAAGAGGTACAGTGGCTCACCTGGCTCACTCTGGTAATCCCAGCACTTTGGGAGGCCAAGGAACGCAGATTGCTTGAGCCCAGGAGTTTGAGACTAGCCTGGGAACCATGGTGAAACCCCATCTCTACAAAAAACACAAAAATTAGTCAGGCATGGTGGTGCGTACCTGTAGTCCCAGCTACTCAGGAGGTTGAGGTGAGAGGATGGCTTGAGCCGGGGAGGTCAAGCCTGTCCAATATCGAGGATTCCTGATATTTGCAAGTGAGCCCAAAGGTCTTTAACCTGTGAGTGAGCCACAATCATTTCACTGCACTCCAGCCTGGGCAACAGAGTAAGACCCTGTCACAAAAAAAATTAAAAAGTAGGAGTACATTCTAAAATAATGATAAAAATAATATAGCAAATATATAAGCCCAAAATATAGTCATTTATTATTATCAAGTATTATGTTCTGGGCCTAACTGTACAACTGGTACAATCGTGCAACTGGTACAATCTGTGGTTTTGTACAACTGGTAACGCAGGCTAGTTTACACCAGCCTCACCACCAGCATTTGAGTGATGCATTGCACTGTGATGTTATGACAGCTACAGTGTCACTTGGCAATAGGAATTTTTCAGCTCCATAATAATCTGCTGGGACTTACATGTCTTATATGTGGTCTATAGTTGATCAACTAAAACATCATCATGCAGCACATGACTATAATTAATGGTTCTCCTTCAGTTCCTTAGCTGGGCATTCAAGGTTCTCCACCACAACCTGGCCTTTCATCTTACCTCCTCTACCCATGGGCTCATTGGAAGGTGTGTTCCCTCGTGTTTTGCTTTAGCTGTGCCCCAACTTGGCTCCTCTGCCTTCCTTTCTGCCTATCGAAATCTTTCTGGAACTCCTCTGCTCTGCTGTTCCCTCCCCGACACTGTCCCTTTATGTTTAGTGTGTCTGAACTTGTCTCCCTCCTAGGCTGTTAGCTCTTGAGAGTGAGGATTGCCAGCTGGGTCCCGCTGTTATTTGAGCAAATTCTCTTTGTGTGTGGGTGTCAGTTTCCCCTTCTGGGTAGTGAAATGTTGTTAAATCAGTTGTTCTCCACACTACCCTCCAGTGGTTTCATTTCTTTTCTTTTTTAGATAGTCATCCTCTGTTGCCTAGGCTGGAGTGCAGTGGTGTGATCTCGGCTCACTGCAACCTCCGCCTCCCGGCTTCAAGCAATTCTCCTGCTTGATTTTTAGTAGAGACAGGGTTTCACCATGTTGACCAGGATGGTCTCAATCTCTTGACCTCGTGATCCACCCTCCTCGGCCTCCCGAAGTGCTGGGATTACAGGCTTGAGCCACCATGCCAGGCCTTATTATTTCTTTTTACAGATCAGGAAATTGAAGGCCAGAAGGTAAAGTGGCTTGCTCAAGGCCATGGGGCTTGTGTGTGGCTAGTTGCGGCTTGAGCCAAGGGCTATAAGATTTGGCAGTCAGTAGTCTGAGAGAGAGATGTAGGTGGAGATAGGAGATGAAGATGAAAGATGAGAGAGTCAGCCAGAGAGAATGGAAGGAAAGAACAGGAAAGCAGAGAGAGGAGTTTCTGCCAATCCCAGGACACCACGGCTATATCAGCTTTCTACTACTACATAACAAATGACCACAAACTTCATTGCTCAAAGTCACACACATTTGTCATCTTGTAGTTTCTGTATGTCAGAAATCTAGACACAACTTAGCAGAGTTCTCTGCTTCAGGTCTGGCCAGGCTGCAGTCTGGGAGTTGTCCAGGGCTGTGGTCTCATCCCAGGCTTGATGAGACCTGCTTCCAAGGTCATCAGGTTGCTGACACCAGAATTCACCTCCAGTGGTTGTTGGACTGAAGTCCCATTTTCTTGCTGATTGTTGGCCGGGGGCCACTCTCAGCTCCTAGAGGTTGCCCACAGTCCTTTGCTTGACCCTCTCCTTAGGCCCATGAGTTTCTCTAATAAAACAGAGCCTTTTATGTACTAGACCCAAATTACAGAAGTTATATCATCTTTGCCATATAACTTAACCTAGTCTTGAGAGTGATATTTTATTTTATTTTATTTTTGAGACGGAGTTTCGCTGTTGTTACTCAGACTAGAGTGCAATGGCACGATCTCAGCTCACCGCAACCTCCGCCTTCTGGGTTCAAGCAATTCTCCTGCCTCAGCCTCCCGAGTAGCTGGGATTACAGGCGTGCACCACCATGCCCAGCTAACTATCGTATTTTTAGTAGAGACAGGGTTTCACCTTGTTGAC